GAGTTGGAGTCGCACACAGACCGGAGGCAACCATAAGGCGTCAGATAATGAATCCCAAGGGCCCGCTGCCACGGCAAGAAACGTCTGGAGGCGTCTACAGGATCTGGTGCAGTTGCGGGCAAAGCAACTATGTCGGAGAAACTGGCAGACTTCTCAAGACGCTAATTGCCGAACACGTGGCAGAAGTGCGGTGAAATGATGCCAATTCTCAAGTTGCAGCCAATTCGACGAGACGCGGCCACACATTCTACTTTGATGAGGCTGAAATTCTCGCAAGAGATGACAATCGAGTGAGCCTAGAATTACGTGAGTCATGGTTCATGGGCCCCCAATTCATAAAAACAAGTGCAACGCTTTGCCCAATCCATATTCGTTGCTGAGACTTGATTTGACCAAAGCAAGTCACCCTGATGAACGTTGAAATAACTGACGGTTAATTGCCCCTCATCGCAGTGTCTTATCCCTCAAGACCTGATGACCCTTGACAGTTGATTGGTGTGCACACACAATAACTAACGCCTCTTTTGTTGCTGTCTCTTATCTCTGACGATAGACTCCTGTAAGAGTTCGAAAGCTTCGGATGATAAAAAAGTGATTCAGTGCTCGACCATCCTTTATTCCTTACCCAGGCAAATACCTGGAAAACGAACAATCTCTTTCAATAACCACCTGATCTTATCATTGGGAATCGACGTATGCGTTACGACTGGATACTGAGTCAAATGTTACGAGATACTCGAAACAATTAAGCTGATATTTATTACTTTAAAAAATATAACTTAATAATAGGCTGGTTAATTGTCTACAAGTTTTAATTTTCCAAGAAGTATGGAAAAATTAGAGCATTTTGCTCCCTTTTGCGTTTTTTGGCAGCTTCGAGCAAGTTTTCTGCCACTTGCGAAAGGCATCTTTTCTTTATGAGAAAATTCTATTGTTTCCATTGCTCAGGATAAGGTTCCATTCAAAGAGTATAGAGGTCCTACAGACTAGTAATTTCCACTTTAGCATGTTTCTTAAACGGTGACTGCAGAGTTTGTTCGTTTTAGAATTACGTACTGATGGAATCTAGGTCTGACAAAAATACATTGCAGCAAAATAATAGTAGCGAAAATTCGATTCCCAGGTGGTAAATCAGAACGAGAAGGAGCGGCCGACAACAAATAAAGTGACCGAAAGACTCTATCCCAAAGCAGGAAAAATCAAGCGTTATCTACCGCGTTCAGTTCAGTCGCGGGGTGTGCAACTAATTTTGAGAAACCGGCCATCAGCTACAAACGCGAATGCATGAACATCACCTGGCTGTAAGAAGGCTGGACCCGAGATCGGAGGTAGCAACCAATGGTGCAGAGATTGGGCACGACTTCAATTTTGACAGCTTTGAAGTTGTGGGCTGAGATGACAATCAGACATCCAGGAAGATTAAAGAAGTCTGGATGTCGACCGACTGTTTAGTTATGCGTCCCATAAATTTGCCAGCCCCTTGTATTATACACATTCTTATTAAGGGACAGTCACGGTGTGAACAATCAGGGCCGCCAATTAGATCTACGGCCAAAATGCATGTGCCTGAAAAGTGTCATGGCGAGACGGGGGCTGACGCGGCACAGGTGACAAAGGCAGGGGGGCAAACAAATACTGAGAATAAAACGACTCGATCGCTGGGCCAATACTTTTATTCGCCTGACGTTTTGT